CCCTCTAAAACCAAAATCTGATAAAGTCAGGAAAGAGGAGAGAAGCTTCCTGCTTCACTGTAAGGTAGATAGATAATCATCTCCTCGGTGTTTGCATGAATACCTTTCTCATTTCAAGGATAGCATGAATGATGACATGCTTAAGTCTGTTTAAACAAACACCTGGTGAAACAATATGATGCCTGTTTTCTCACAGCCCTTACCTGGAACCATCCAAATGCAAATAATTTCAGTTTCGCACAAGTGAGCATATGAGTTTTAAATAAGTGATCAAATGTGGAATCTGCTCTCAGTTTTTTTTTTTTTAGCATTATCAAAGGGTACAACTATTTGCAACAATCTGCCAAATATACAAATATTTTTTAAGGCATTTATATTTCTATATGAGAAAAAATATTTCAGAATAAAACTAAGTTTATAACTACAGTGATTAGTTTTCACACCCTATCAGAGTTGTTGGTGGTTAATGAATACAAAAAAATACCCCCCTTTTTTAATCAAGAACATTCTACCCTACACTCTGCTACAGAGATAAAACTAGTGATTTCTTACGTCTCACCCCAGTTTCCCACTTTTTTTTTCCTCACTGCCCAGAGGGAGATGCAAGTCCAGGACAACCGACTGGCCCGACAGCTGATCCGCCTTCGTGGGGAGATCCACCGGCTGAAAGTGGAGCAGGTGTGCCACCGTCACAAGGAGATGCTGGATGATGCCACTTACGAGTTGGAGGAGTGCGAGGAGGAGTCGGACCTACTGTGTGACATCCCCATGAAGGCCGCCTTTGCTCTCTCCACGCCTCTGAAACACCTAGGCCTCACCAAAATGAACATCAACTCCAGACGTTTCTCACTGTGTTGAAAAGGGTCAAATTTTGCCCACACAGAAACAGATGTTCCCGTATCTCTTCTCTGTGTTTGTACAAGGCACGTCACTAGAGTTACTTCCTTTCCAAGGGCGGACTGGTGAGTGGCAGGCAGCAATTGTTGCCAGCAGTGAAAATGAAAATGTCTGCCTTGATTGATTTGTGTCAGGGTATGACATGAATGAGGAAGTATTTATGTACTCACCTGCAGAAGGCATGCACACCTCGACTACTGCCAGAACTCCCTGCTGGTCCGTGTCTGATTCTGCTATTTTATACCACAGACTTGTCACAGAAACAAAACAAAAAAACCTTTGAATGAATTCACTATATTGCCAAAAGCATTAAGACAAACCTCCAAGTCCTTGATTTCATTTGTTCCAAACACCTCCGTGGCCACACCGAGGCAGCCGACTGCATGTGCAAATATTTCTAGAGCAGTCTCAGGATGTCCGTGAAGTCAAGTGTAGTACAGTGATAGAATCCTGCTTGTGCAAAAGTCAATTGTTTGGGGCATCAGAACGAAGTGGGAACAGTTTTGAGGAGACAACGTAAAATCATAAAATCAGACACATAGTGTGTACAAGTTGCCACCTATCTTGAAGAGTCAATCTCTATTTACCTTATTGAAGGTTTCTTTACCATTGGATGAATTTGGGTTTGCCAGTTGCTAAGAGAATGGTACTTGCTTGCTCTGTGCCATGCATAAATATTGGTGGTGGGGGTATGGTGTGTGGTTGTTCCTCAGGAATGGGGCTGAGGAACAACCACATTCAGCAAACCCCATTAGGTTCATTGAAGGTCCTCTCCATCCTGCAGAATACAAGGACATTTGGATGCTTTCTCATTCCAGCTTCACCGCCCTCCAGAGCAAAAATAAGATCCATGTACACTAGTGAGTTTGGTGTAGAGGTACTTGACAGTCCTGAAAAGAGCCTTGACTTAAACCTGATAGAGCTCATTTGGAAATGAATTAGAGTGAAGACCGAGAAGCAGACCATTGGGAATGACCTCACAAGTGTTCTCTTGAAATAAAGGTCAAATATTTCCATAAACACACTCTTAAACCTTGTGGAAATAGTTTCTAGAGGAGTTGAGGTCGTCAAATCTTACATGCGTGGGGGAACTATTTAAATTGATGTAAACGTCATGGTGAGCATCTGAATACTTTCGGCAACACATTGTATCATGTTATTTAACTGAAACGTGACCCACCAGAGACATTTTTGTTTACTTTCTCAAAGACCCAGGGACCAATTATTGTGACAGAATCTTCAAACAGAAAGGTAAAATATAATTCGTGAAGCAAAAAAGGAATTTGGCCATCAAAGCGGTGAAAGTGAGACTGAAGACAAAAGGTCAAACTTTGTCTGAGCTGGTTGAGGGACGAGGCGCCAACAAGTCGGATCCTTTCAGGCTGTCACATGCTTTAATGAAATCAAAGAGCTCAGAGCCGGTGTGTATTTGTTGGGCCTGGTGGAACTCAGCGAGTTTCTATGCTATACAACGTCCCCTCACACAGCAGCACTCTTTAAGCCTTCATCAGTTTCCACCAGAAAGCAGGAGGTCACCCTCATGATTTGTTTTACACCTCTCCCTCACGGACCAAAAATATCCCTTCAACCTCAGCACGGCTGTGACAAGAGCCAGCAGGCTGTTTTGTTTCCCAGTGACATGTTGAGATGCTGCAGAGCACTGACTGTATAAAGCTGACCAAGTGTTGCTTTTCCCCCCTTGAGCACACACTCCCACCCAAGATGAATGATTTGCTTTATACTTAAGAAACAAATGCGCGACTGATTACTTTTGCTTCTCGTATGTTGATGTATTTTAGTTAAAAGTATAACATTGAGTTCTATGCAGATTTTTGGTTGTTAAGTACTGATGTAAATGTATCTACTATGCATGCGAGTATAAAAGAAAATACCTTGGCTGGATTGCTTTCTTTCTTGCATAAAAGTGTTTAATAATAATAAGAGTAACTTAAATTCCCGGATGGATGGATGGATGGATGGATGGATGGATGGATGGATGGATGGATGGATGGATGGATGGATGGATGGGAATCTAACTGACATATAATGTTTTCCACACTCTATATTATTTTTCCATGCTTATCCTGACCAGGAAAATGCTTATTATTCCAGACTTTCCCAGACTGTAATGAAATCCTGTAAGTGGTATTACATTCCCCCCACTAACATTCAAGTTCACAGTAAAGTTTAAACCACCCATCATTTTCAATATTTTACTTGAACTAACCACATTTCCCGGGTTTCCAGGCTTTATTAATCTGTTATTGTTGCCTAGAAATAAGATAAACAAATCAGAGATGACCTTGTACAGCGTAAAACCTGAAAGTTATTTCAAGTAAAAATCACCACAGACCCCAACCCTATCATCTGGCCTAAAAACAGATTTTGCACACAAGTGTCCTGCTTCTTTCTTTCATGTGTTGTTGCTCATTTCCTGCAGGCTTGTGCTGAACCAGACACACTGTAAGATACAACTTGTAGAACATGAAACAAAATATTCCTTGGCAGATTGTTGTTACCGAGGAAAATGAGCAGACACAGTCTTCATACTGTGGAGTGCTGCAGGACACATGACCTCATGTGTGACTTGAAATCAGAACAACCAGACGTGAAGGTGAATATCAAATGAAAGAAGTTGGAGGGAAGCCTGAGTATCGCACCTTCAATAGCCTTTTTCTTTACCTTTGTGTTTCTTACGCCACTCAGGTTTGCCCTTCAGATATTCTCCCTTGACCTTTCTTCAGCATACCTAAAGCTAACACGTCCTTTAAAGCTGATATCATGGAGTAAATAAAGCATGCTCGGCTCTCAGCTCAAGCTGATACGGCGTGTGCGAGTAGTAAGCATCGGCAGCATGAAAGAAGACTGCACCTGCATCACAAAGCGGGCTGTAGGAGGACTGGAAAACTTTCTGTGCGTCGATAGCATCTAAGTTTGATTGCGTAACAGAATGTGATTTCCAACCACGTTTGGAAGCAGTGACAAATGTGGAGCAGGAACACCCTGAGCTGGCCGAGGCCTCCGATTTGAGGATTTCTGCTATTGTTTACACACATATATTAGGTGTTTTACTCAAAACAGCTGCCAGAAAGTCTCTGGAGTGTATCATGATGTGGAAAACTTAAACACCCTCAGTACGTTTTTTTGCAGAATTTCACTCTAACGGAAAAAAGGAGAGAATTTGGGCGGTTTTGGTCGCGAGCGAGACTCAATCTAAGCTGTGGCAGCCTTCAGAGCACATATTTCTGTGCACTATCTGTGATACTTGGACTGACTTCCTGCCAGTGCAAGCTCTACAGCAGCATCCGTTCACCACAAGAGAAGAAATGCGACCCGCAGCCTGAGATGTTCAGAAGTGTAGATGCAGGGGCTCAGAGAGAGAGAGAGAGACCTCACAAATCCATGTTATGCAAAGTTTATTTTATTTTTATTTTAAAGGAAAGTGATGCTTTGGTGATATGATACATAAAATCAGTTTTGTCAAATTTGATTTGATTGGACTTTAGATTAAAAAAACAAAAAAAACAAAAGTCAGGGCAAAGCTATTTTTTAATTGACATTAAATGAGAAACCATATTTTTGCAGTCATGTGTTCTTGATACTAAACCAGAAAGAGTTTTAACCCACAACAGAGGAAGCGCAGCTGCTGCAAATATGCTTATGTGGTATCACTTTGGGGGCAAATGTGATCTGTTTCATTAAGGTCTTGTGTGATTTTAAATTTCTGTTTGTGTTGATTAATCAGGTATTACTGTGTCAGCTGCATGCTGGTAGGGCACCTTGCGAAGGCCAGTGACTCCCACATCATCACATGGTGAGAACCAAGACAAAAATACACAAGCGTAGCGTCACCACCATCCTACAAAGCCCTCCTTTTCTAACTGTATTGGAACATTCTCATTTTCTGGATAAAGGCTTTGTCCTGACCCCCTTTTTTTTGTCGTCTTAGAGCCCATAACGTTCCTCTTTGCACACAGCTGCACATTCAGCACCTGTTAAACAGACTGCAGAGCAACCCTCAAAGTTTCAACGACAGGAAACTCTCTGGGTCGCTCTTCCATATGCGCGCACGCGCGCGTGTGTGTCTGTGTGTGTGTGTACGAGACACCGCATCAAGTCTGTTTGCAGGCTTAGTTATAATAAGAGAGGCGGATGATGACATCTTCACACCCAAGCTCTTGGTGTGTAAAAAAGTTGCTCTCTCGACATATAGCTCGGCAGAATAAATTCAGGTCTGAACAAAGGGAATCTTGATGGCGGCATCTGAAATCTGACATTATTGGACATTTGAGGATAGATTCAATTAATTTAACAGGTGAGTAAAAGACTTGTGATGGTTTCAACCTTCAAAGTTTGAGTTTAAACATGCTGTTACCAGCAAAGACTGCATACAATTGACATAAATATGTACTTGCTTTGTTTTTTTGTTTTTTTTGGAAATATATTTAATCTTTAGCCAACTGGAAAATGACTTAAGAAATTATTTTTATCCAAGTAGCTGTGTTCCGTCTTTTATTTCTGTCTATTTACTCTATCATAAGGCGAAAGCAGAAGTTTCAGAAAGGCTGATGACATCATCACACACAAGTATTGCTCTAAATTATCAATATAAAAACCTTTCTACCGTGTAGTCTTTATTTATCTGTCCGTTTTCTATGTAGTAAACCACCAACCGTGTCTTTTCTGTTAAACAGAACAATAAACTTCTCAAGGTATTTTATTTTAGAGATAATTTGAACAAAGGTAGCATAAAACGAACCTCCGGTCTCAGTTTGGTTCTTACTGTTACAAAAGTTGATTTGAAAGTGTCCTCGACATGGAGATCTTGAGTGCTTGTTGTGTTCATATCTGCTATATCCTGTTAACATTCAGCAGTTTGTTTGGAAAAGGCCTTCAGCTGCTTGTAATGATAAGAAAAAAAAAAGGCAGAGGGTAGCCCCCTCAGTGGAAAATACTGACTTGTGTGACTCCCCAAGTGTGGGCCAGAAAGCCTAGGAGAGCTGATAATAAAAGAACGCCTTCAGATGCTGGTGATCCCCCTTGTGATTCATCCTAAGGACCTCTTTGCTGCAAATGGCGGGTTGTTATTTAGACCTTTGCAGATTTCTCACGGCTTTAAGCCTCTGGGACAGACGTCGGCTGCGATTAGCCCGCTGACCCTTTTTCCATGAGCGGCCAAACACGGGAGTAGAGCGGCCTTGAGAAAGCTGGTTTAAACGGCGCATTAGTGTGAAAATACGAGACGTAGCACATGCGGGCGACAGATTATGCGAGATTAACATTGCTGCGAGTTTCTAAAAGAAAACCATTAGAGCCTAGAGGAAAATGGTTTTTGAGGGGATTTGGAGAGCTCCGAACTAGCGTGTGTTTCAAGCGAGTCAAAAGCGCAAAAAGTTTCAGCGTTCAACGCTGTCGTCCTCCATTTTGTTGTCAAAACATTTCCTCTTACCGGCCAGAGTTGTCCTAAAAACTTACGATTTCGGTTAGTAGAACCTTCTTAGTTACAATAACAATAATACTAATAATATGTTGTAATTGCCTTGTTTATTTTGTTGAACAATGAAGCATTAGTAATTGTTTAGTGAGCATATAAATCTTTCACTGTGTTATCTGAAGAAGTAACGTGTCCGTTTGAAATTTCAGAAAAGATGGGGTGCGCCTGCAGTTCGGACTCAGACAGCGAATGGATGGAGAACTTGGACGAAATTTGCGAACACTGCAACTGTCCAATTCCTCCCCAGGCCTGCAATCCAGTAAGTGGACGCAGAGGTCACCTTTGCTCTTAAAATGCTCAAATGGCTGAAGCCAGAAGGTGTTCACTTTACATGGGCTCCCACCATTCAGTCCCTTTGAGTAAACATGATACAGTACAATGTGTTTCAATCCGCTTCGGTACAACAGAGTTGAATAAACTTACATAACTGCAAGGGAAGCTGTCTTTTGTGCGTGTGATTAAGCAGGAGCACAACTATTCCCTCAGTGTTTTCTTTCCTCGCTGTGACTGAGATGTCCCATTAGATTAGGAATTAAGGAGAAAACCACCTGCATGTGACACAACACAGAGGCGTTTGGTTTGCAGAGAGAAAAAAAACAAAGAACAAATAAAACGGACGACAATTACCGCCAAGAGCTGGTTACCCAAACCAGAAACGTACGAGTGTCTGCTTAAGTTTTACATTGTTTTCTTTCTTTGTCCAATAATGCCTCTTTTTTTTTTGTCCCTTCAGTACACAGATCAGGTGATTCCATATCCATCACAGTATACGCCCCCGATGTCACCTTTACCAGGTATATCTCCTGACTTTGTCTCTTTGCAGCATATTAAAGCTTCTCTTGTGTTATTTGTGTTTGAAAAAGTGGTAACACTTTATTTGAAGAGGGGAGGGGGGTGAATAAGACTGTTATGACACTTTCATAAACATGACGTAACACCTGTCATGAACTGTTTACTGTTTAAACTTTACCTTTAATAACATAAAGTTACCTAATTTTTAAAGTGCAATCAGTAATACTTTTATAACAAATTTATATCAGCAATGATTTCTTGGTTAATGTCAAGTTGTCATAACAAAGACATTTTGAATAATGTCAACTTTGTATTAAATTGTCATAATTTACCGAATGACACTTTATGACAACAGTCATAAATTTTCATGAAGGCTTATTCATGTTCATGACAGGTGTTATGTTATGTTTATGACAGTGTCATGTCAGTCTTATTCACCCCCCTTCAAATAAAGTGTTACCGAAAAAGTTTGTATGTTTAATTAAATGTGTCAATTTATTCGTCTGATAGGGGAGAAACACTGCAAAAGTAACGTTCAATAAATTTGTTGAACATGCTTTTTCGTCCTGTCGAGTACTGTTCTCATTCCTAAAGGACGATAGTACTGATTATTATTCTCATTTCAGAATCTGTTTACTCGGCATTTTCCACTTTCCTCCAACCTTGTTCTGTCCACGCAAGTTTCCTTTCTCCGTTTTCTTTAAAATGAAAGCTACGGATCTAGCCGACTGCTCGATTACCATGTTGACGCTTGGAAATATTCAACTTCCTGGGGATTTAAGTTTGAAATGAAATGTAGTTTACAAGTCAAATGTACTTTATTTCAGTCAGTCCAAGTATTGGCAAACAAATATATGCAAATTTTCAAACATTTTATGAATAGAATTTAATTTACCTTATGCCTCCTTTCGACGGCTCGTGTTCCACATGTCCATTGTCAGCCTCCTGTATTTCCCCAATTATTTGCCCCATTTTGGGGACAACTAAATCCAATTCTATACATAATATCCAAGTTATTGTTGCATTTGGACTGGAGCGATCTGGTTAATACAAAAGTCAACGTATCTCCTGTATACTGGAGAACGAAGCAATCTAGAGGCTCCTCCGCAAGTGAAGAGGTTAAAAACTTGAAACTTATAACAAGAAACCGGCACAAGAATCTGAAAACTGGACCTGTAATAAAAGAATAGTCATGCTAAATTTTGTCTTCTTCGTACCTGTGAGGATGTAGCCAATAATGTTTTGCATAACTGTGGCGTGTACATAACAAATGTTGAAAATCCAGCGAGGATGGTCATCACAATAGTCCAGCCTACTTGGGCCTTAGGTGTACATTATTTTTTAAAATATATTCTTTGATAGAAAATATAAAAATTTTGTCATGTACTAAAAGTTGTGTTTAGCTATATATATATATATATATATATATATATATATATATATATATATATATATATATATAT